AGACCAGGGAGATGGGGAGCAAAGCCTCGGAGGACGCCGACAGCGGGACAGCCGCGGCGCGTCTGGGCTGTCCCACTGCCCGCGTCCTCTGAGGCTTTGCTCCACGTCTCCCTGGTCTGCTGGGCCCCCCCCTCCCAGCAGACCAGGGAGATGCAGAGCAGCTTTTCTTGCCCCGGAGGATGTGGGCGGCAGGACCGCGGCACATCTGGGCATCCCACCGCTCGCGTCCTTCGGGGCAAGAAAAGCCCCGTTCGTAACTGCGGATCCGACATAAGTCGGATCTGCGTAACTCGGGGACTGCCTGTACAGATTTTGGTAATAAGTTTGCAAGTACAAAATTATTTTGAAAAGTATCTCACTGCTTTCGTATTTAATCACCTGGCCTGTAGTTAACATTCAGGAAGCAAAATCTACCTAAGTGGCTGGTGATGTGAAAAAGCACCGGGCTGAGGGTGACCATATTTCCCTATGTTGGATTCTGGATACCTGGTAAAACAACTCGTCTTCAAGTGAGCTCAGTGGCAATCCATCAGAGCTGAGCATCACAAAGGTTCTAATTAACATCAAATCCCTGTTAAGCATAATGACTGTGTAGTTGGAGTCTTCTTATCTTTAAGGTTTTAGGGTTCAAAAGGGCGAGAGAGACACCCCACCTACACCTCTCTCACATGACTGAATGTCTGGCAAAGCTGACTAGGGATGTTAAATGTTGGTTAATTGAATAGTCGAGTCACCTCATGAATTCTTAACGGTTAGTCGACTATTCTATAGTCCCTGGGGGCGGGGCCGGCAACCAGTGTGCTCCAGCCTCACTCCTAAGGAGCCCCTTGCCACTCCGTGCTGCTGTCTCTGTATCCGTGCAGGGTGCCAGGTGGGACCCAGTTTAAAAACCAGCTCCCCTCGTGGACCAGCTACCTGTCACCCTGTGCTGCTGCCTCTGATAAAGAGACAGTAATGTGGGGTGGCAGCAGCCTCTACCTAGGGGCAGGGTGTAAACTCCCAGACCCGGTATGAGCTGGAACTGAGCTGGGCTGCCTGCCCACCAGGTGATAATACACTTTAAATGCAGAGACACAGCAGGGGTTGGTCCCAGACCCATTTCAATCCAGGACTGAGCTGGACTGCTGGCCATCCTGCTAAAAAATGTTTTGGCAATTGTTGGGGGGAAAAGGGGGTGCGTGTAGTCTATAGCATTAACCTATAAGCCTTTGCTTATCGCTTAATTGACTAATCAACTAGACTATTACATCCCTAGAGCTGACCCTGGTGCTCTCTTCTGAGCCCAGTCTGGCAAGAAGGGAGGACACACTCCTTTCCTGGGTCCTGGAATCACATCTCCCTGGGGCAGCACCTGGACAGGCCGCACCACACAAGGGTAGATGCAGAAGGGTGGGGGGGCTACGGGGCATGAAGGGACAGAGCAGGGTGAGGACAGCAAGAGATGGAGGATGCAAAAGGCCAATGGGGGGCAGCAGAGGGAACAAGTCACTAGCTGCTGCCTGGCACCTGCTCGCATGGTCCAGCCCTTGCTGCTGGTAGCACAGTCAGTACTGGATGGGAACGGGATGGTGTGTGTGTGGAGGGGTGGCCCTGCTGGCTGATACTAACACCCAACAGAGGCTGCATGGATGGATGAGCTGGGGGGAGCAGCCACTGGTCCCCACTTCCTGGTGGCCGGCGGGCAGCTGGAGAGCAGGGATCTGGCAGCAGCAGGACCTGCCAGCACTGATGGGGAGGGAGACAGAAAATACAGGACAATTCACTAATTTTTAAGAACAAGTCAGGACCCTGCAGCTGGGCTTAAATCCATCCCTGTCCCTTTAACCCAGGATGTCTGCTCCCTAACTAGAGTGCTGAACAGGAGGCAAAACAACAGCTCTCCCAGGCAGCCCCCAGCCACTGAACACCCACACAGCCCTCGGCAGCGGGTGCTGCCAACCCCCATCCTGGAAGGAGGAAAAATCCTCTGTCCTCTCTCCTGTATGTTTACAAACACTGTGAAATGGTATCTTTTTCTGGAAGGGCCCAGATCCTGTTCTTAACCCTGCTGCCTGTGTCAATTTTGCCCTTTGGCCCCTCTCTTGGCCCTGAAGCCAGTTGTGGGATCTCCCTCACCCGGTCAGTTTGACCCCTGCATAGATTTTGCCTCCTCTGCAATTTCATGCGTCACCTTCCCTTCACAAATAAACTACAGGGGGGTGGGGCTTTTTTGGGTCAGGGGCTGCACAAATGCATACATGATGGAAAAAATTCACAAGATGGTTTATTAGGTGATGAGCTTTCGTGGGCCAGAGCCACTTCCTCAGATCAAATAGTGGAAGAAAATTGTCACAACCATATTGTCACAACCAAAGGATACAATTTAAAAAATGAACACATATGAAAAGGACAAATCAAATTTCAGAACAGAAGGGAGATTGGGGGGGGAGGTAAATGTGTCCAGCCTAATAGATTTTGAGTGGCCAGGCCCTGGGGAGCAGGGGGGATAGAAATCCAGGGCAGACTTCCCAATATTGGAGGGTTCCCTGAGCTTCAGGGGTCAGTTCCAGGCAGGGCAGGGGCCATGTCTGGCCCCTGGGCCATAGGTTCCCTGCCCCTGCTTGACAGTGTGAGCCAGGCAGCTTTAAGCAGACACAGAAGCCAAACAGGGATTCTCTGGGCCCTGAAGCCAGGCCTGGCCACTGTGGCTATGTCTAGACTGGCATGATTTTCCACAAATGCTTTTAATGGAAAAGTTTTTCTGTTAAAAGCATTTGCGGAAAAGAGCGTCTAGATTGGCATGGACACTTTTCCGCAAAAGCACTTTTTGTGGAAAAGCGTCCGTGCCAATCTAGATGCGGTTTTGCACAATAAAGCCCCGATCACCATTTTCGCGATTGGGGCTGTTTTGCGCAAAACAATACTGCGTTGTCTACACTGGCCCTCTTGCGCAAAAGCATTTGTGCAAGAGGGGTTTTGCCCGAATGGGAGCAGCATAGCATTTCCGCAAGAACACTGACAATCTTACATGAGATCATCAGTGTTCTTGCAGAAATTCAAGCGGCCAGTGTAGACAGCTGGCAAGTTTTTCCGCAAAAGCAGAACTTGCCAGTCTAGACGCAGCATGTGGGTTTGCAGGGGCTGCAGATAAAATGTTTCCATGCACTTGCCTAGGACTGGAGCTGGGGTGT